CAATTCTTGAAACGGCGGTTCTTGACAACACCATTTTAAAAACACGGCCATTTTTTACCAATAGTTTGAGGTACGGCAAACGCTAAAAATTGCAATTTCTTAATGACTCACTTTGCTACGAAGTCCTACAGAGTAACACATCTAAATGTTAACGCAATAAACTTAATCAAATTGAGCAAAAGGTAAAATAATGGTTTTTACAATGTTTTTCGAAAGCCTGTCTCAAATCACCGTTTTAGTTGTACTACGCCATTTGTGTCTGCCGAATTTACACTCACTTAGATTGACTGGAAATGATTACCGCAAATAAAATCTATATGGGCCATCATAAAAGCATTTTATTTTACTTTGCGGAAACGGGTCTTATAATCGAAAATCTGTCAAGACAAAACCTCTCCACCTCTTTGACGTTAGCATCACCACCTGTCAAAGATGATTAACAATAAGAGGAAGCTAAGCGTTTGTCAGACTCGGGCAGTTTACTGTAAATAGCAAATAAGAAAGATTTGTTAACGGCGCATTTAATTAATCACCTGAAAAAGAATTGCACAATGGTTGCTACAGTTTCTTACGGTGAAGTAAATACATTGTTTAAGATCTACGTCATCAAACCATTCAAAAGACAAAATGTCTTCCATCTTCTTTAAAACAAAGGAAAGTCTGAAAAGGGGTTCGTAGGCTACTAAAATAAGTAGTTGATTCAAGTGGATCATGGCAAGGACTACGCTAATAGGTCAGTCGTTCGAAATTCTGCATGGTGTTTATGCATGGTGCCATCAAATTTAAAATGTCACTAAGGACGTCAAATCATCAATAAATTTCTGGTTCAAATCGCCCAGAGTCAGACTGACATATTCAACATAGCCACCTCGAGATAGAGCACGTTCAGAATGATTTTCAGCACTGATTCGATGACTACATTGTCATCTAAAGTCAACAACCAGAAAAAATGCGTAGATACATCTAGTTGCTTTTGTTAATCTGTTCAACGGTTTTGAAAAAATTGCCGCGCTTTCAAACTGGCATCGAAAATAAGAATCTCAATCTTCAGCATTTGCTAAAAACGTATCATAATTC